TAAACTCAAAGCCATAATCACCCTGAAATAATCCCTAGTACAAATAAATAAACATTGAGATCGAGTGCAACAACAAATAAAACGTATGAAGCACACAAGTCAAAAAGACAAGAAGCACTTGAAAAATTCGAATAAATAGCCAACAAAAATATCCATAACAAAGTAAAGATTACACCACATGAACATAACAAAAAGCAAGAAAACAACTACAACGAAAGAAGAAAAAGAAAAAGAAAACATCTAGAAGCTCTCCTTACTGGTATTATCTGACAAATCTCCTCATTAATTAGGTTGCCATCACTGACATTTTCTCCACATCCTTTTTTGTTGTGCTCAACACTTCTAAATCCATCTTCAAATCAACAATCTCCTTAGCAATGGTAAAAAGGAGATCTTGGTCACCTGGGTGCCTCTCATTGACTGCTTTCACCCTCTTCTCCAAGGTCTTTATTTGCTCCTCATAAGAACGAGACCGAGACCTCAAACTCTCCACTTCAAGCTCTATCTCTTTGACCTTTCTGAGCAGCTCCCCCGCCTACGTAGCGTCTCATTCGCCTTAATAGTAGCAAAGAAAGACTTCTTAGTTTTGTCTAAGTCCCTTTCCACCTCCTCCAACTCCACTTTCTCCTTCATGGCCCTCTCAAGATCAGCCACATTCTTATGCCATTTTTCGCTACCAATGGTCAACTATATATCAAATTATTACTTATGGTTATATTTTTAATTATTATTTTTATATATTTTATATCTTTAATATGTTTATTTATTTATAATTAAATTTTATATTTTATAATATTACTTCAAATATTTTATAAACACTAAAAATATATTTTAATTTTTTTAATCTTTCAAAAATAAAGAAAAAATACTTTATAGTCAATAAAATAAATGAAAATGATACTTTATAAAAAATATAAAAGAAAATTAAACGCATTTTTTATTTAAGTTAAATACCTTTTAATTTTTCTTACTGTCATTTATTAACATTAATAAATTTAAAACAGTTTAAAATACTTTAAGAAAAAATATAAAACATTTTTATTTATTGAATGAAATAATATATATTATAAATAATTAAAATAAAATGTATTTATAAGATAAATAATATTATAACAATTAATAAAAAACTTTTACTAGAGTTTTGACAATAGGATAAAATTGTTGTAAAAAATTAACATAAAATATTATTATAATAAATAATATATTTTATAATTTTAGTGCCTTTAATTATTTTCAAATTATATTATACATTAATTAAATATATAAAATTAATCTATAGTAAATATAAAATGAATAAAAATTCTACCAAATTTGTTAAACAATGTCTATCTATATACTGATGCTAATTGTATAACATTATGTAGAAATTAGATAAAAATATTTTAATAATTATTAATTCAAAATATTATATAATAAACAAATATTGAAATATTATATATATATATATATATAAATACTATGTTATATCTCTCATTAATATATAATAAAAATACTATATAATAATAAATACATAAATGTGTATATATATATAGTTAAATATTTAAATATATATTATAATAATATAAGTTTAATTTTTCTAAAGAAAATAATACATTTAGTACATTAAACGAAATAATATATATATATATATATATATATATATCAATGTTATATTTTTACTTATTTTATTTATATTGTATATCTTCCATACGTTTATTTATTTATAATTAAATCTTATATTTTATAATATTACGTAAAATATCTTATAAAAACCAAAAATTTGTTTAAATATTTTAATCTTTCAAGAATAGAGAAAAAAAAAGAAGAAAAAATACTTTATAGTCAATAAAATAAATGGAAATGATATTTTATAAAGGTTTAAAAGAAAATTAATACTCATTTTTATTTAATTTAAATATCCTTTAAGTTTTATTTTTGTCATTTATTAACATTAATAAATTTAAAACAGTTTGAAGTAATTTAAAAAAATATAAAAATATTTTTATTTATCGATTGAAATTATATATTTCATAAATAATTAAAATAAAATGTATTTATTAGATAAATAATATTACAATAATTATTAAAAGAACATTCATTATAGTTTAATTATTAGCATGAAATTGTTGTTAAATAATTAACATAAAATATTATAATAATAATAATTAATATATTTGATAGCTTTAATGTATTTAATAGCTCCAAATTATATTATATATTAATTAAATACATAAAATTAATCTATACTAAATATGAGTAAAATATCTAGTGAATTTCTTAAATTATTAATAAGTCAAATATCTACACTATATTATAGTTATGATTACATCACTAGCCACATACTATATTTACAACCACACAACACAATCACTTGCTATTCATGTTTCACACTTAACCACCTATTAAGTTTCTTTCCTCAACAACATATTGAGATCACGACTCTCACAACCTCTTGTTATGAGTAATCTCAACCAGCTAGTTGAAATTTTTTTTCACCTTCTTACACATTTGAACACCACATTTAAGTAGGATATGTTTTTTTTACAAATTCAAGTTTTTTATCCTAACAATTGCTAAGATTACAACAATCTCTCCTTAATTAGGAGCTTCCACGAAGGAAGTTTCTCACTTTTTTTTTTATCTATTATAAGATTGTTTACAAAATGTAGAAGTGGAGATTTTTGAATACAGAGTATGAAACAAGGATTACAACTACGAAAGCTTATACTTTAATGACTCTCTTTTATCTTGCTTGTTTCAAATAGTTCCCTTGATCTTCCTTTTATAGTTGGAGTTAGCATAACTTTTAAGTAATATTGATATCATCTTGATTTTCATTTTATAGACTCCAAAATAAATCCGTTGGAGTTGACTTAACTTTTAAGCAATGCTGACATCATCTTATATTTTTATTATGGTGTTATTAGTATATCCTTCAAAAATAGTTTACTTTTAAAGCTTCCTTCTAAGTGTACTTCTGAGCAACCTTTTAAATAGTGTCTTCAATACCCGTCTTCTGGACCTAAGTTTGAACTAAGATTTATTGTTTGGGAGACTCTACCATAGACAGTAATGTACATGATCTTTCAAGATATCTTCCCTAAGAGAAGATGTCCAACTTGAATCTCCTTGAAACATCAAACTTGTGCACACATGGGATAACTATAACCAAGGTACTTCATATCAACTTCAAAGCATGGTTGTGCTTCTGAGTGTTCTTCTGAGTTGAATAACTTATAATATTTCTAAGTACATAACAAATTAAAATTAAAAAAATTAAACAAAATTGTTAGTACTATTTATGAACACTCTTTTATGATAAAAACACAGAACTAAGAATTTATCATTAAGGGTTCAAATGACACCGGTATAACTTTTACTAAGTGTTACACCGCTCAATAACTTTATATTAAATGTGAATTTTGAAAATCCAACCGTTAGATTGAAAGTTCATTACTCTTAAATCATATATATCAAATTTTATATTAATCTAAGATGATTTGATACTTCATTCTCATAAAACAAAATTGATGTAATATATATATATTTTAAAATATACTAAGTTCATTACTCTTAGATCATATATATCAAATTTTACATTAATTCAAGATGATTTGATACTTTAATTTTATAAAATAAAATTGACGTAATATATTCATTTCAAAATATACTAAAATATGAACACTTTAATTTTAACAAAATATGATATATACGTGTAAAGTGATATGAACTTTTAATCTAACGGTTGGATTTACAAAATTCACAATTAATATAAAATTATTGAGCAGTGTAATACTTAGTAAAAGTTACACCGATGTAATTATAACCCCCTTATATATATATATATATATATATATGAGAGAGATCTATTTACTCTAGGAGTAAGTCTATCTAAACTTACTTAATTTAATAACTCATATTTTTATATCAAATTTCAATGATCGAACTATTATATTTAAACTTCTTAATACATAGATTAAGTCTGCAATTTCTTAAAAAAATTAAAAATTATCTATACTTCGTTTCATTAATTCAAGTTGACTGATAATCATAAAATTATTTTATACGTTGACTTAATTAATGAAATGAAATATCAAATTATTTCAAATATTTTATAAATTTCAACCGTTGAAATTTGATGTAGAACATGAGTTAATGAACGAAATAAGTTTAGATAGATTTGCTCTTAGAATAAATAGATCCTTCCTTATATATATATATAAATGAAACAACTTCTACAATATTTTTTTCCTCTAATAAGTTTTCATATGCATATTTTATAATTATAATTATAATTAGTGGAGTCGATGCACTTCGTGCTTCTATTAAAAATAAAATAAAAATAAAATAATTAAAGTATATAAATCTAATTGGTGTTCCATTAATTTTAAGTTCTTAAATTTGATTAAAAAATATTTTTTTTCTTCATTTTTTTAAAACAAAAGGGTATAATGATAAAAAAAAGTGGAGACCAAGGTAGTTATTGAAAATGGTATTCCCTTTATATATTAGTATATATTATATTAGTTATATGATACAATAATATTAATTTTAAAAAAAACGAAAACATAAAATATTAATTACATAAATTTTAAATTATTATGTTTTAAAGTAAAAATAATTACAAAACTCACATTAAAAATATTAATTATTAAAAATTAACATAATATTAAAACAAAATAATAACACATTGATGAAATTAGATTAATTTTTTTTTAAAAAATAGAAATTTACTTATATTTATGTTAAAAAATTTATGATATATTTGTTTTTATTTTATTTACTTATATTTTATATGAATATATTTTGATTTTATTTGACATTTAAGCATATTTTTATGTTAATGTAATATGTAATACATAATATATTATTCTTTAAACTAAATAAAAAAAAAATGTAATGGATCTGGGTCGGGTGGGTATACTAATGATGAGTATGATTCTAGAACCATCGCAGGAAGGTGTCGGAAATAATAAATACTATAAATTGGGTCACTGTATGCAAATTTTTACAATCTAATCTCATCACCAAAAAATAAATAAATAAAATTCTGCACCCGACGAGCACAATAAAAGGAGCTACTCTTGCAGTTCCCAATCCCTTTCTTTTCATTTCGGTTTCTCAATCGACAATTTGCGCTGTGCATCAATCATTCATTGTAAGTTCTCTCTCTTTCTCGTTCCTTTTTCGCAATTTCCCTTCTCCGATTTCATTTTGGGATTCTCTCGCCGCATGACCCCTTCAATTCTTCAATTTTGTATGCAGTTGGGAATTCGGGAACGATCGATAATCGAATTCTTTTAGTTTTTGGTTTTATTTTTCCTTTTCGGCGAATTACTCTTTTTCGTAACCCTAATTTTAGTTTTGCCGAGGAGCAATATATTTAAAAAATTTGTGACATTCTTTCTTATTGCGTGTTTTTCTTGTTCCTCATTTAATTCGCGTTCTTTGTGTGATTGGCACCAACAGAACGATCATTCAAACAAGTTCTTGTTGCAATTTGTGATTCTGTAATTGTTGTTGAAACCACAATGCGGGGCTATGACGATGAACGAGATGTAAGCATTATTGACTTTTTAGGGTTTAAGTGAATGTTTCCCATTTTACGGTTCTTTGTTCTATTTTTATTGCCATTTCGTTTGTTCTCTTGTGTTTTATCCATTTGTTCTTTTGAGTTTTATGCCGCGTTTTGCCTCGTGATAATTCCTATTTAATGGAACCACAGGATTATGAGGATTATTACGAGGATGAGGGACAAGAACAGTATGAAGAGGAGGGTGAGGAAGAGTACGAAGAAGAGGAAGAGGAGCCTAGGAAGCCTTCAAAGGAAGAACAGGAGTATCTTGAGATGAGGCAGAAGTTGAAAGAATCTTTTAGAAAGAAGCTGAAGAAGGAGAGTAGTGGTAGTAGTACTTCACGCCTGGATTCAACCGACAGAAGGAAGAATAAGCTTCCTTATGATAAGTGAGTCTTGCAACCATCTTTTCACCAACCAGTTTTTACATGAGTGCTTTCAGGAAGTCTCGAGCTATAATATCCTATTTTGATTGGGGCTTTGGTTCAAGAATCCAAATTTATTTTCTTTTAGTAAGTTCAATTGCACCTTCTCTCTTTAACATTGCCCTTTGGGGCATGACAGCATTGATCTGATAGAGAGTTTTGTTTAACATTGCCCTTTGGGGCATGACAGCATTGATCTGATAAAGTTTATGAAACCGATTGTTTGAAGGGGATATAATCGCATTGTCTTATTTGATTTGATGAATTCTAATTTTTTTTTGTATACCCATCTGGAAGTTTGTTTTTGTCTGTTATGATCTGATAGAGAGTCTTGTTTAACATTGCCCTTTGGGGCATGACAGCATTGATCTGATAAAGTTTATGAAACTGATTGTTTGAAGGGGATATAATCTCATTGTCTTATTTGATTTGATGAATTTTAATTTTTATTTGTATACCCATCTGGAAGTTTGTTTGTCTGTTAGGATGCTAGGTGCTGCTTAGCCATTTTTTTGGATTTTCCCTACATCTGGATAGATGTTTTCATTACCTTATAGAAAGTAAGAAGTTCTGTTGATTACACACAATGCATTAGTTTGTTCTTTTAATTGAGCATCCTACTTTTTATATTGCTTGTGTGTAACCATTTCTTTGTTTAATAGCACTAAATTTAATATTTCTGTTTGGTTTTTAAGATATCCGTTATTTTGTTTGTGCAATTTTTGATTTTGGGCTCAAGGTTTTGTTGTTTTTTCCTATTGGCTTGTGTGGATGATTGTTTACATGCTTTGTGCTCTTCATTGATGTATTTTGAGTTTGCTTGGCATGCTGCATTGATAATTTGAAATTTGCTAATGGGAATAGTGAAAATATTGTCTCCATCATCTATTGCAGTTATGGTTCCTTTTTTGGTCCATCTCAACCAGTTATTGCACAGAGAGTAATCCAGGAGAGCAAGTCATTCATAGAGAACAAACATTTGGCACCCAGGGTTTCTAACCCACATCACGTTGTATGTATTCTGAATCTCTGTTTTGGTGCACCATTTTAACTTTCGTATGAAGTTTTGTATCATATTATGGATCTTCATTTAGTGCTATTGCAATTCCTTTCTTTTATGAAGTGATTTTAAACTGACTATTTGGGGTCTTGGAGTGATTGGTACCTTATTTCCCACTTAGCATTGTGAGAAGAAATTAAAATAAAGGCTATACAAAAATAATAAAAGTTGCAAAAGAAATTTGACCTGTTTATTGTTTAAATATATGATTCCTTTTCCTGTTTTGCCTGCTCTCTTTTGAGTAGAGGAATACCTAAATAAGGTTTGGTGTTTGATGTGGTGGATTTATTAATGTAGTAAATTTTTACTTCAATATCCTAGTGCTTTTCTCCTTATCGTGCCTTGGGAAGCTCCCATGGCAGTGATTCATGTATTGGGTGACTAAAATAAATTCTGGAAAACAGCATGGAGCCTCCCCAAAAAAGGCTATAGTAGTTTAGCAGATCAGAGTGACCACTACACCAAACAGCAAATAATTTCTAATACATGCATTGCATACTAGATGATCAAAACACAAAGTACTCAAAATTGGATGAGACTGGCCTTGCTATGAAAGGTTGAAACAGAGCTTTGACTGGTACTAGTGGAATCACTACTTGACCTAATTATTATTTTAAGTAGGTCAGGGTATTGTAGCATATTACGATCTATCAATAATAATATATTCAGTTTAATTATTGTCATCCAACTTTTGCTCCTTTTCTTCTACCCTAACCATAAATCTATAATTTTATTCCAAAATGAATGCAATAGATATTGTAAGAAATATGAGTTGCTGATATGACCAAAAGCACTTATTGCCATGCCAAAAGCTTAAGTTGTCAGTATAGGTGCGACTCACATATATCATTCTGCATCATATGTTGCCCTTCCATATTTAAGCCATTGGACATGGGCCACTGGGTTGAACCTGATCCATAGAGCAAACTTGTACCCTCATGACCCTTTGGGCATATAGTTTCCTACCTCTTTAGGGAAGGTTCACTCTCAAACCTTAGGCAATTGGAAACATGTCAAACTTGGGATTAGAACTCGCACTTTGATACCAAATGATATGACAAAGAACACATCACAAGGCCAAAAACTTAAGATGGCATAAATATGTGCTCTAGTGAACCCTTTGGACTTGTCAATTACACTCCACCAAATGCTCCAAAGTGTGCCAAATGATATCAGAGTGGAGTGTTACACTTGGAGCAGCGGTGTGCCAAGTTCTTTTCTTCTTGGACATTAAATGGTCTAGCATTAATTCTCTATGTTTGGTTGGTTTAGCCAAGTTTGTCTTTTATTCTTTGTGCTTCTTGTTTAAATGACTTATGCTGTTTGTCTTATGTCTTAGGGTTTAATACTTGTAATTTTACCTCTAAATCCTAAAGCTTAGCAAGCTTTATCTTAGGGGGGAGTATTGGGATATATTTAGATTATCTTATAAAATTTTCAGAACTTCTTGTGGAATCTATTAGTCATCTAATTGGAGAAACTTGGGAGTTGTTTCCTCATTTTATTATATCGATTTTTTTCTCCTTGATTTAATTAGCTGTTAGTCTTATTTTAAGTAGATGGCTCGTACCATTATACTAGTACATGAGCTAATTATTAGTATAAATAGGAGTATTTGGTTAGGGTATTGCAACACACATTATGACCAATCAATAATACAGTTAGTGTTATTATTGTTAGCTGTCATCTCTTTTCCTTCTACCCTAATTGTATACTTCTTAACATTACGGTAACTTTCGCTTAAGTACTGAGAATATGCAGCAGTTAGGTGTTTTTTAATGTATTTTTCTCCCTGGAGTATTTTAATGAATGCTGCTTTCTCATAAATGATATTGTCTGCAGAAGAAGAACCCGGATAAAGTACCTAGTGGAGGATCAAAGTCTTCATCTCATAACCTGCCACCCAAAGTCAGAGAGGTCTTGTGGCTATCTGTGTTATGTTTTTCATGTAACTTTTGTAGCTTAACCTCTTTAAATGTTTTTTTTCATTTTTATACAGATGAAAGTTAAAGCTCAGAAACTCAAGAATACAAGAGATTACTCATTTCTTTTATCCGATGATGCAGAGCTTCCAGCACCTTCAAAAGCCCGTCCACCTCAGAATATGCCTATACGGAACTCTGGTATATTGCTCTTGGCTGTGTTCATATGGTGTTGAATGTTGGATTAAAACATGTTATTGTAATTAAGGGAACTTATACAGGATTTTTGCTGATGTTGAAGAGGGACGACCAGCTCAAGTTCCAGCAAGGAGTAAACTGCCTTTGAGCAATGGCAAGCATGTTCATGCCAGTCATGAGGAACGGAAACTAGGTACTGCAGCTGGCCGTTTGCCTCCTAAATCAGGATCCAGTTATACAACAAGTTCAACCGGTAAACCTAGTATGGCATCATCGGATTCTAGAAAACAGCTTGGTAACATCAATGGCAATGGACCAGGCCGGCCAGTTGGGCCAAAAGGCTTGCCTCCGAAGGTTTCTGTTGCTACCTCAGGGAATAAGTCTTCAACACCTGGTATAAAAAACCATGTAAACAGTATGCAGAAATCACTCCCTTCGAAGACTCATCCGTCCATTCCAAAGCAGAGTATGGAGCAAAGAATTCCAAAGCAGAGTATGGAACAAAGAATTCCAAAGCAGAGTACGGAACAAAGAATTCCAAAGCAGAGTGTGGAACAAAGAATTCCAAGGCAGAGTGTGGAACAAAGAAAAGACATACGAGAGATAAATAGACCTAAAATGACACCAAAACAACAGGTGTGGCACTGCATAGTTATGCTCACTTGCACACGGATCCCTTATGGATTTTGACCTTCAGATTGTTCATCATATAACTTTAAATTGCTCACTTGTTTTACAGATAAATAAGCCACTAAAACAAAACTCAATGCGTACTGCTTCGCAAAATCATCGTCCCAAGCCAAAGGTTGCAAGACGACCGTTTGATGATGAGGAGGATGAAATGGATATCAGTAACATGATCAGATCGATGTTTAAGTGAGTATTTTTAACTGATATGTAGATGACATTGAATTTAATACAATGTTTTTTTTATTATTTTATTTTTTATTTTGGGGAGTGAGAAATAAAATATTTGAAACTTGAAATATTCATTCCTGCAACTGGACAAATAAATTTCCTTTATCTCAGACTTCAGATATGTGCTTAATTTTCACCTTGATTCTTCAATGATGGGGAAGAGAAAGGAGGAGGGAATTCTTATTAAAAAAAAATTTAAATGGATGATATTGTAATTTATCCTCAAACTATGAAATGCATGTTTAAATTCAGTATGATTTTTGCAATGCCTGTGTCTTGATTTGTCTTGTGATACAAAAGAAGGGGGAAGGGTGGTTAGGTCTAGGGGAGGGACAAATTTCCAGTCAAATTGTATTTCAATAAGCACTGTTGTGTCTTGATTTCATCCATTTATGACTTTTAGAACTTTCAATAATTATTTGTTGGACCATTTGCAGCTACAATCCCAGGAATTTTGTTGACGATGAAGACGACGACGATATGGAGGCAGGCTTTGATGAAATCATGAGGGAAGAAAGGAGGAGGTTTGTTTTTTACATTTTAAAATTAAACATCATTTAATATTTTATTCAGTCTTGTTGATTAAGTTGAACTCGAGCTATTTAGTATTTTATTCAGTCTTGTTGATCAAGTTGAACTCGAGCTAATGCAAAGTCTTTCTTGTCCTCATTTTGCGCTTAAAAGTTGTCCTTACAAGTTTCAAGAAACGCCTGGCCTTATCTTCTTACCCTTTACTTTTTCTGTCACTAGTTGCATGCATTCAAATAACTTGCTTTCCTTTCGCTTCTCCGATTACTACATGATTGTGTTGCGAATCCAACTGTTGTCATTTAATCATATGATTTCAGAATGATGTTTCTTCATAATAAGTAGTTTTTTTGCGCTGTCGATGATTTTGTATAATATACATGCAGTGCCCAAATTGCTAGAAAGGAGGACGAGGAGCAACTTAGGTTAATCGAGGAGGAAGAGGAAAAGGAAAGAGAGAGGAGAAGACGAATGGCCAAGTTAAAGAAACGGAAGTTTGGCGAGTAGTTGTTAGTAAGTCGTTTTGCTTCCGTAAGATGTCACTGTTTTGGTCATGGAATTAGATTATTCAATTCATCGATGAAGATAGAAAAATATTTGCCTCACATTTAGCTTGTTTTATTTAATTCAAGTACTTGGAAAAGATATACCGTTGTGGCCAGTTTCCATTTTTAGCCAAGGTAAGGGCAGGGATAGGGGTTGCATTGTATTGTATGATTTCAGCTTTTGCACATTGATTGGCTGTCATTATAATACCCAATGGAAGATTGGAAAATTAGATATATTTGTTCATCGTGATAATTCTTCTAATATTCTGTTGCACAACTTCTGAACAACGTAGTTTGTAGTACTGAATGATGGTATAGCCAAACATGATCCATTTTGTTTTATAGATTTTAAAAATTATTATATAGATCAAAGTTTAAGAACTAATTTGTGAAAAATGTGAGTATATGGTAAGATGAGAGAATGTACGAAAATATGAACTGTATAGAATTTTAAAAGTTGAAAATTAAATAATTTAAAGATGTTTTGGATTTTTTATTTGAAAAATTCAAGAATTAGTTTTGTATAGTTTCTATATCGAATAAGTTGACTTATTGATTTTAAAATTAGAAAAAGTTTATAAGAATAGAAGACAAACATTCTTTAATTACACTTATGGGGAGGTTTTTTTAATCACGATTTTTTTTTCTCTTTTTAATAATGTTAATTTTGATATCTAATAACTAAAATTGATTCCATTTGTTAGTATTGTTTTTTAGCAGAAAATGTCAATAGTGAGTGAGTTATGTTAGTCAAACATACTTTTTCTTTGTTAGTATTCTTTATCTATGTAAAGTTCAATATTTTTACATTTTATTTAAAATTTTACAAATTAAATTTGATTGAATTATAATTATCATTTTTTTTATATAATTCTCTTTGATCGGGTTGGTTATAGGGGTGGGAATATGTTAGATTAACTTTTTGAATATATAGGTTGAGTCTGTGTCTTACAAAATTAAAGTTTAAGTTTAATTTATCTATCATAAATTTTTTTATAGGTCTGACTTCATCTTTTTAAAGTCTAGTATAAATTATTAGCCTATTTAAAAGTCTAATTTACATTAATAATGTTAAATGGACTAATAAATCTAATTTTTAAAAAATATAAATTTATTTTTAAAGTTATTATAAATTATTTTTTAGTTTGCATAATAAAATATAATTTATTTAATATTATTAAAATTTAAATTGTGGAATATATATAGTCTCAAAGGAAAAAATTGAATTAGTTATAAATAATTCATGTGTAATGATGTATGTTGGTATATACTCACGTATATATTGTAATCTTAATATATAATAAAAAAAGGCAAGTGTATAAAAAAATATTTTAAATATTTTTTTTATATCTAATTTAGTATATTATAAGTAATCTACTCATTTAACAAATTAAAATAGTTATGGTAATAATTAAAACTAAAAAATATTTATTGTACATGAAGTGATCTCAAGAGTATCAAATACATATACAATGTCACAAAGAGGGAGTATATGATATTTTTTTTAAAGAGATAACTCATATTGTACACTAACATACGCTTATGTACAAACTTATAAATGAATTATGATGATTAGATGACTGAAATGGAATGATAGATTGCTTCATTTTTGTAGTCATGTGTATCTTTCTTTTAAGCAATTTTCAGTATGTCGTTTTAGATGGCTAGTGCTAGTTCCTATGCCACTCAGTTGTAAATTTATTTTTATAGTATTTGTAATTTTTTTTTTACTTCTTTTACTAATTTTAACTTTATCAAAATTATTATAAAATAACTATTATTTTTTTTCTTTTTTTCTTAATCGCAACAATACTACTTTCTCAATCTTTTTCATTTTGTTGTGCATTGTTTTCCATCTAACTTTAATTTGTTGGTATTGATTGATGTGCATTTAGCTCATTGATAGTTGGAAAGATGATAGAACCCCTTCATTCTCAAATAGTAAAGTCATTCCTTGACATTAAAAAATAATATAATTATAATTATAAACATGAATTCAAGTCTTTAATATATAAAAGAATTCAATATTTCTCAATCCAAACTTTTTAAACTAATAATAAAATTATATTAATGAGAATTATCTAATTATAGAAAATATACAAAAAGAAAAAGATGGACAAAGTTACTTATGAGAAAAAGAATGCAAAGTTGGAAACTTGTAGTTGATTGTTTTTGTATGAATTGAGTGATGATTATCAAATATAAAGGTTGAAAATGGAAGATGATGTCGATGAAGGATTTAAGGTGAGTTGCAAAGTCACAAAATAAATGAAGGATTGAAGCTGAAGTCACCATTCACAAATAAAAGATAGAGACACTTAGTCAACGAATGACTATGAAGTGGAGTGGTTTAATTCAATTTGTGATTTCTTGATTTTTTATGAATAAGGTACGTAAAATATTTAAGTAGAGTGATAAAAAATATTGATAATATATATATATATATATATATATATAACAATG